ATAGTGGAACGAGTTCTTCATGAAAATTTTCCCAATCTCACGAATGGAACCAGCATTCATGTACTAGAGGCCGAACGGTCTCCACCCAAGACTATAGATTCCAAAAAAAAATTAAGGCACCTGATAGTCAAATTGAGGAATCATAATTGTAGATATAATCTATTGAAAGACACTAGGACAAAGAGGCCCCTTACTTCCAGAGGAAAGCCCATCAGAATAACGTCAGACCTGTCCACAGAGACCTGGCAAGCCAGAAAGGGCTGGCAAGATATAGCCAGGGCACTAAATGAGAAGAACATGCAGCCAAGAATACTTTATCCAGCAAGACTGACATTCAAAATGGATGGAGAGATAAAGAGTTTCCAAGACCGGCGAGGACACTGCAGGAAATATTAAGGGGGGTTCTATAAAAGAGGAAAAATCCTAAGAATAGCATTGAACAGGAATATAGAGACAATCTACAGAAAGAAAGATTTCAAAGGTAACACGATGTCAATAAAAACGTATCTATCAATAATCACTCTCAATGTGAATGGCCTAAATGCCCCCATAAAACAACACAGGGTTGCAGATTGGATAAAACGACAGGACCCATCCATATGTTGTCTACAAGAGACCCATTTTGAACCTAAAGATACACCCAGACTGAAAGTGAAGGGATGGAGAAGCATCTTTCATGCCAATGGGCCTCAAAAGAAGGTCGGGATAGCGATTCTCATATCAGACAAATTAGATTTTAAACTAAAAACTGTAGTCAGAGATACAGAAGGAAACTATAGGGGCACCTGGGTGACTCAGTGGGTTAAGCCTCTGCCTTCACCTCAAGTCATGATCCCAGGGTCCTGGGATTGAACCCCGCATCAGGCTCTCTGCTCAGCAGGACTCCTGCCTCCACCTCTCTCTCTGCCTGCCTCTCTGCCTACTTGTGATATCTGCCTGTCAGATAAATAAATAAAATCTTAAAAAAAAAAAAAGAAGGACTCTACATAATTCTTAAAGGGACTATCCACCAAGATGATCTAACAATTGTAAATATCTGTGCCCCAATATGGAGCAGCCAATTACATAAGAAAACTGTTAATCAAGATAAAGAGTCATATTGATATGAATACATTAATAGTAGGAGATCTTAACACACCTCTCTCAGAAATAGACAGATAATGAAGCAGAAAATCAATAAAGAAACAAGAGCATTGAATGACACATTGGATCAGATGGACCTCATAGATATATACAGAACATTCCACCCTAAAACAACAGAATACTCATTCTTCTCAAGTGCACATGGAACCTTCTCCAGAATAGACCACATACTGGGTCACAAATCAGGACTCAACCGATACCAAAAGACTGAGATTATTCCCTGCATATTCTCAGATCACAATGCTTTGAAACTGGAGCTCAATCACAAGGAAAAGTTCGGAAGGAACTCAAACACTTGGAAGCTAAAGACCACCTAGCTTAAGAATGATTGGATCAACCAGGAGATCAAAGAAGAACTTAAACAATTCATGAAAACCAATGAGAATGAAGACCCTTTGGTCCAAAACCTATGGGATATAGCAAAGGCGGTCCTAAGGGGGAAATACATAGCCATCCAAGCCTCCCTCAAAGAAATTGAAAAATCCAGAACACACCAGCTGTCTCTATACCTTAAAGAACTGGAGAATCAACAACAAATCAAACCAACTCCACACATAAGACTGGGTATTTACCCCAAAGATACAGATGTAGTGAAAAGAAGCACCATCTGTACCCCAATGTTTTAGCAGCAATGGCTGCTAACGGTCGCCAAACTGTGGAAAGAACTAAGATGCCCTTCAACGGATGAATGGATAAGGAAGATGTGGTCCATATACACTATGGAGTATTATGCCTCCATCAGAAAGGATGAATACCCAACTTTTGTAGCAACATGGACGGGACTGGAAGAGATTATGCTGAGTGAAATAAGTCAAGCAGAGAGAGTCAATTATCGTATGGTTTCACTTATTTGTGGAGCATAACCAATAGCATGGAGGACAAGGGGAGAGGGAGAGGAGAAGGGAGTTGAGGGAAATTGGAAGGGGAGGTGAACCATGAGAGACTATGGACTCTGAAAAACAATCTGAGGTGTTTGAAGGGGCCGGGGGTGGGAGGTTGGGGGAACCAGGTGGTGGGTATTGGAGAGGGCACGGATTGCATGGAGCACTGGGTGTGGTGCAAAAACAATGAATACTGTTATGCTGAAAAGAAATAAAAAAAAAAAAAAGACAAAGAAGGACGTATGTATCATAGAGAAAATACTCCAGCAAGAAGATATAGCAATTATACACAATTTGTATGCACCCAGTAGGGGAGAACCCAGATATTAACACACATGAAGGAAATAACCAAAATGACTACAATATTTGCAGGGGACTTGAACACCCTATTGACATCAATAAATAGATCATCCAGACAATCAACAAGGAAACTGTTGTTTTGATGACGCACTGGACCAGAGGGACTTAATGGATATTTACAGAAGCCTGCATCCAAAACAGCGGAATACACATTCTTTTTCAGTATCCATGGAACACTTCCCTGAATAGAACAAGTTAGGCCACAAACAAGTTTCAACATATTAAAAAAAATTTAAGTCATGCTACACATCTTTTCTGACCACAACACCATGAAACTAGAAATCAACTATGAGACAACTATCTAAAAAGAACACAAATACATGAAGTTTAAATAACAAGCTACAAAACAGTAGATGGGTCAACCAAGAAATCAAAGAGAAGATTTGGAGAGAAATGAGAGAGAAATGGAGACATGGATAGAAATGAGAATGAAAACACAACTGTCCAGAATCTTTGGGATGAACCAAAGCTGTTCTAAGAGGGAAGATTTAGCAATACAGGCCTATGTCAAGAATCAAAAAAAATCTCAAATAAACATAACCTTACACATAAAAGAGCTAGAAAAAGAACAATAAACAAGACCTAACACTAGTACAAGGAAGGAAATAATGATGACTAGAATAGAAATAAAATATAAACAAAGAAATAAAAAACAATAGAAAAGATCAATTAAAGAAGGAGAAAAATTTTTTAAAAGATCGACATTAATAGATGTTTAGCGAGACTCATCAGAGGAAGAGAGAGATACAGAGAGGATTCCAATAATCAAAATCAGAAATGAAAGAAGAGAAATAAAAATAACACCACATAAACACAAAGGACTGTAAGACACTATTTTTTTTAAAGATTTTATTTATTTATTTGACAGAGATCACAAGTAGACAGAGAGGCAGGCAGAGAGAGGGTGGGGTAGGGTGGGGTGGGGGGGCGGTGCTGAGCAGAGAGCCAGATGCGGGGCTTGATCCCAGGACCCTGGGATCATGACCTGAGCCGAAGGCAGAGGCTTAACCCACTGAGCCACCCAGGTGCCCCTTATATAGTAATTCTATGTTATATATAACAACCAGTGCTCCATGCAATACATGTCCTCCTCAATACCCACCACAAGGCTCAACCATCCTCCTACCCTCCTCCCTTCTAAAACCCTCAGTTTGTTTCTCAGGGTCCACAATCACTCATCATTCATCTCCCCCTCCAATTCCCCCCCATTCACTTTTCCTTTCCTTCTCCTAATGTCCTCCACGTTATTCCTTATGTTCCACATGTAAGTGAAAATGTTGGGTCTTTTTGTTTTATTATACAGTTACATATCTTTGTAAAATATTTCATGTTCCAATGTAAAATAAGTTGCATCGGGGTGCCTGGGTGGCTCAGCCATTTAAACATCTGCCTTCAGCTCAGGTCATGATCTCAGGGTCCTGAGATCCAGCCCAGTATGTGGCTACCTGCTCAGCGGGGAGTCTGCTTCTCCCCCTCCCTCTGCCCCTCCCCACCCCGTGCACATGCACGCTCTCTCTCCCTATCAAAAAAATAAATAAAATCTTTAAAAAATAATAAAATTGAGTAAAATCTAGCCCTTATGCTGCCTCTCCACACAGTACATTAACTCCAATATATAATTGAATTTTATTACTGAAGTTATCTCATAGTTTAACTGAAGAGTATGTGCAAATATATTCTCATATTTTACACTGTCTTAGATTATCACGAACACACTATATACATAATTCTCCACCTCACTCTTTGCATTAAACAATGAACAATACATCCTGGAGATGAGATTACAGTAATATATAGAGTATTACTCACTCCATATAATTGTGGAGTCATTTATTTTGTGGTTGTAACATTTTTTATTGAAGAACATTTCAATTTTATGTTTTACCGTTTCAAATAGTGCTGCAATTAATAACTTTAATCATATATATTTTGGAATTTTTCCCAGAGTTCTTGATTTTCTCCCCATCCCCAGCTTTATTTATGAGAAACTGGAAATAAAATCATATGTATTTAAAGTATACAATCTGGTGATTTTATATATATTTACATATGGTGGAATGACTACTGCATTCAGGTTGATTCATACATTCATCCCCTCACATATTTACCTTTTGTGTATGTGTGTTGAGCAGGCTTAGGATCTACTGTCTTAGCAAATTTCAAGTATTGTTGTATAGTGTTATTACACAGTTTTATTAACTATGGTCACCATATTATACATTCACCTTATAACTGAAAGATGTGCTCTTTCAATGGCATTACACATTATCCCCACCTTCCAACCTTTGCCAGCCATTACTCTATTCTCAATTTTATGGCCCAGATTCTTCAAAGTGAAATCACTGGGGCAAAGTGTAAATGTGAGTGCAATGTTCCTAGAGATGACCTAATATGCCACATTAGACTAGATCATTTTCTGGGAATACCAGCATTGTATGACAGCAACTGTTTTTCTACAGAATGTCAAACTATGCAATTTCCCCAATCTAATAGGAAATAAGTGATATCTTAGTATACATGACATTTCTTGACATGAATTTACATTCATCTTATTAGATGAGAGGTTGGATATGTTCAAGTACCTTTTGCATTTTTTTAAAATTTCTACATAGATGCATCACGATCCACTTTTCTCTTATTCCCTAACCTCTCAAGTTCAGACAGAAAATATACTGATAGCAGCCAAGGGGTGCCTAGACTTGCAATTTGCAAACCTTGGACTATGTTCCATCTTATACATGTGTCCTTCTCACAGCGTACTCCAGATAAAGTTTTTCCTTAGCTAATGTTTCTCTTTCATTTCCTGTGACTCATGTTCAGCTCACCATCTCTTGTGTTTTTAACTGAAATAATAACCCTATAAAGGACAAGGAGGTTCTCAGTCAACATTAATTGATCTACTAATGTTCACAATTTATGGATTCACAACAGAACATGAGGAACACAAAAAAACAGACTATGTATACATTGACTTAAAAAATCATTTTTGAGGACCTACTGTGTGTACAGCCATTTTATTCCTACTATATCAGTAGAAAGACCAGTGCTGAGTAAAAAGTAACCATCACACAAAGTGTTATACTCCCCACTAAGCAGAAAAATTCCAGATTCCTGTTCTTCATTTTCCCAAGAAAGGATCATATGAAGGAAGGATTCTTCAGAGCTCATTGTTTTCACTGTCGAATAATAGTCACTATGTTCATGGTTTGTTCAAGAATAAATTATGGAAATATCTGTGACAATCCCTGAGAGCAGTGGGTCAGTATTGCTTCTGGGGAGCCCTAAGTCAACTTTCCAGGCATCAGTGCCATGTCAGCACTTAGAATAATTCAGGAGCTGGCTGTTTCACTTTTCCCATCATCATTCCCAACATCCTGATGTAGATAGGTTTTCCCAGAGCCCACAGAATCCTTAAAAATCTCTTCTTTTTTAAGAAGAACTTTCGCATCACTCACCACGGTCTCAAGGAAATGATTTTGCATGTAGAAATTCTTCCTAAAGTAAATACCACTGGCAATGGGTCCTCCATTAACAGAGCAGAATTTTTTCATATAACTGAACAGTTTTTCCTCTAGTGACTCATCAACCTTCTCAACTGATAACAAACGGGGAGACTTGAGGTTTGCCTTGAGTTTCTCCACTGACACATGCAAGTCCTTGGCTGTAGTTTCCAGGGATGCATCATCCAGTCCAAAGTAAGATCTATAGAGGGTTAAAGTCTCTTCCAGCTTCTCCACATCATTATCACTGACAAAACCCATGAAAGGGATTTTCTGATGCTCCAGCCTTCACGGCCTCCAACCATATCTTCTGTCTCAGAACATCCCTCTTCCAGTCAATATCAGCCTCGGTAACATTCGGCAGGTATTGCATAAAGATGTGGCGCTTGTGGGCAGGGAGCCCCCTCAGCATGGCAGTCTCCAGGCTTTGGAGATCATAGCCAGACAACTCAAAGCTGGAAACTAAGAAGATCTGAGGATCACCCACATTGGCCTTCTGCAGATGTGTCACACAGTCATCACGGATCCGTTGCAGGATTTCATGCTTGTTAAATGTGCTCGATTTACTAATTCCTAGGTTATGTAAATCACTGTCTACTTTACTTCGGACAAAGCAGAAATTCTTCTTCATTTTTCTAATTTCTGTGGCCAGAAATACATCATTGTCCCTAAAGCGTGTAGCAGAGATGATAATAAAGAAATCATATTCACCAAATTTCATTTTCTTTAGATATGTCTGTAGTGGAAAGGTACTGGTCCCCACACCAGGAAGGTCCCATAGTGTCACATTGGGAAACTTTGGGTGTTTGTATGGAGTTCTCATAAAGGTTGTCTCCACTACCCCAGTGGGGGCAGCCCCAACATCCTCATGATCCACCCTCCGCAGGGCATTGATAAAGCTTGACTTCCCTGTCCCAGACTCCCCAGTCACAGCAATGTTAACTGGGACATCCTCCATGTCTCTCAATGCATCGCTGATTACAGAAACTGCTCTCTGAAGGTCCCCGTTCACCAGATATGACTGAATCGAGGTGATGGTTTCCTGAGAGAGGATTTTTCTTTCCATCTTGAATTCCTTAAAAAAATCCTCGAAGTTGGAGGACAAATCACCACCCTTTCTATGAGAGGGTGTGGAAGAAGACACCTGACCCATGGCTGGAACCGAAGACACTACGGGGAGGAGAGAAGAAGGAGGGAAAAAGAGTTACCACAAAGAGGGGTGGCTTGAGATATGCTATTATGGGCAGGGAGAACCTCAGTCCTGGCCATAATATTGTAGTCAGGTGCCCTTCTCTTTCTGTCCAGGCATTGTGTGAACTTCTGACCTAGATATAAAGTTTGTACTTGCTCAGTCTCTTCCCTTATCTTGGAAAGCCCTTCTTCTTTAAGATACTTTTCATTCTTCCAGAACTATTTCAAAGCCTGACTCTTCTTTCCAAACTTTCCTGCCCACATTATTCTTTCCTTTTCTTGCTTCAGTTTTCTTTATCTGTAATGTTATGAAAATAATACTTCTTCTTGGAAACCTAAGGAGACAAAACCAGCATTTATGCCCACAACCCTTTCCACCTGTGGTGTGAGACCCTTTAGAAGATCCACTTCTGATCACCTCCAACTTCATGTCATAAATTTTGGTTCTCATATGGAGCTAAATAAGGATGAGTGGCTCCTTTCTTTCTCAGAAAAGATACTGTACATCTACATTAGGAGGTAGAAACTTTTAATGACTGAAAATGTTTTTTCTTTTATCTAGAAAGTATGTTGGCTCATGAAACAAGGTGTTGAAAGGGCTCTTTTTATTTTCCCCAGAGCAGAAATAGCAGGTGGCATGGATTCCCATGTTCTTAAAAAAATATGCTGGACTATCCACCTGGGACTTGCTATGAGCTACCCTGACTGTCCTGAGACCCCACCCATCACCTGCTTCATGCATGTGCATAAAAGGGGACAGAAGTCAAGTCAGGAAGATAATCCACTAGGGGACTGACTGATGTATAAAGTGTCATTGAAACAAAAGATGGTGTTAGCAAAGACTGAAGCAGGAGCTGACAAGGATGTAAGGCAGCCATGATAAAGAGGTTCCTCTGTCACCTTCTCTGATTATCAATCAAACTGAGCATGATCTGGAATCCTGAATCTATCTGATCACTGGGGTCTTATACTTTGAGATGGTACAACAGAAGAAATCATATACCCAGGATTAAAAGTAATGTGAAAGACTTGTACACTGTCCCCTAAAGAGTTTGAGACCAGTTTTTAGGCCAGGAAGCAAGTCGCCTCAAGTCACCACTGATGTCTGGGCAGCATGCAGGCTATAGAGGTGTGTTTGTGAAGGATCAGGCACTTCACCTGGGGTCTCCTTGGTAGCCACAGGCTGCAACCTAGGAGAGGATGGCAAAAAATAAAAAAAAATGTTTGGGGAAGAAACTATTCAGAGCAAGTGTACATTGAACTGGCACCTGTTACACATTTGAATGGGGCATGCGAACATTCTTCTTAGAAGAGATAACTAAGAGAGTCTAGCTTGTCAAGGGTGAAAGGGGCAGCTCTTAAGCAGCTAAGAATCATGGTGCCAACACTTCTGACTACCCAGCAGGAGTATTCTTCACATACAGAAGAGTGGAAATTCTGAGCATCTGGCATGTGCAGGGACAACCTCTAATGTTTTGGAGAGCAAACAACCCCACCACCCCTTTTGAGAGCAGGGAACACACAAAGCAGAATGAGCCAGACTGAATGTGCAAGTGGCATATACAATGTGGGCCTTAAGAGGAGCCAACAAGATGAGACTCAAACCCCATCAGGTGTAGTCTCATGCCTGTGCATTCTCAAAGGATGGGGGTAAAATACTCAAGAGGTTGAAGAAATCTGACTGAAACAGGTCCTAAGGAATGACACAAATAAAGAGAAAGGGAACCAAATGACAGGATTAGAGGGCAAGCAGATATGGACAACAAAATTCTGTGTGCTGAGCAAATTTTAACCACACACACCCATGCCCTATTGTTAAGGTTCCATACCTCACCTGATGTTGCATGTGAAGTTCTGTTATTGATTATTTTCTGCTGCAAAAGCAATGTAGGCATAGCAGTTGCAGAGTAGTCTATGGAATCCCTGGGAATTTGTATTCCATCCTCTGGCAGTGTGTCCTCTGCAGCTGGGATAGAAATGGAAGGAAATGTGAGAAATCCATGCCAACAAAGCTTAGATGTGCACCTGTAGATATATTTCTCATGTCATTCTCTTTACAACCCTACACAGACATTATAATCATTTCCACCATGAATTGAGCATCAAATAAATGATGAGGTTGAGGGACAGACAATGAGGATCCCACCATTAGCAAAGCTCAGAGCTAGGATTCAAGGTGAGGGCCCTCTGCCAAGGGTAGAGTTCTGTCTCAGGAAGGAAAGACAGAGCACACATTATGGTGTGCAGAGGACTCAAAATGAAGTCAGTGTGAAACACACAAGATTTATTTTCCATGAAGAGATATGTTAAAAAGAAAGCCACAGGGCCATAATGGATCCACTTAAGTTAAAGCCCCAAGTTGGTAAACCAAGACGTAGTACCTAACAGCAGAGTTAGTACCTAACCCCCAGGAACGTAATCTATCAGCGGTCAGCATGGCCATATCCTGGTCAGCACTAAAACCTTTACTGACAGATTCCCTTCTCTTCTCTTAGAAGGACAACATTGCCTAAAGCAATGTATTCTCTGTTAATAATTTTTTTCTTATCTACTTTACCTAAAAACCTTTTCATTTTTGCAGCTCAGTGGAGATCCTTTCTATTTGCTAGCTGGGATACTACTCAACTCAAAAATTATTTAATAAAGCTAATGAAGTCTTTAGAATTTATTTGTTTCAATTTTTTTAAGCAAATTTGGTGGCAGCGTCTAGATCCAAAGCAAATTTCTGACTGTATTTGGAGACTATAAGAAACACAGGTGTGGAGTCCCATGAATCCTTTTGAGTTCACTGTCTTTTTCAACATTTCCAAGGACTATTGTAAGTTCATCTTGCTTTGAGCTCTGATCTCTTTTGCCTTACAGCTCCTGATTGAGTTGACTTCAGGGTTAATGGATTAATCTATCTCTGACAGAAGACTCTGACAGAACTCCCATCCTTCACCCTTAGTTCAATCCAGAAGTCCACATTAGAATCCCTTCCCCAGTTCCAGCCCACAGTCTGTATTTACTGATCTTTGCTGGTTTAGTATGTTCCCCCATTTCCTGCCTGCAGTCTTCATTAATGGAACCTGCTAATATGTATATATATATAATGAAATACTATTCAACCATAAAGAAAGAATGAAATCTTGCCATTTGCAAGGAAGTGGATGGAGACAGTATTATAGCTCTGTGACACATATGCTATATGTGTAATTCAAAGAAAAGTACTATATTATTTCAACCTTATGTAGAATTTAGGAAACAAAACAGATGATCATGGAGGAAAAAATAGAGAAGAAAATCAGGAAGAGACTTTTAATTATAGAGAACAAATGGGTGGTTACCAGAGGGGAAGCATGGATGGGGGTGGAATATATAGTGGGGTTTATGGAGTGTACTTGTCATGATGAGCATGGGCACTGTATGTAAGTGTTGAATTACTTAATTGTACACCTGAAACTAATATTATATAGTATGGTATCTAACTGAGATTTAAGCACTTGGTGTTATGCACAACTAGTGAATCACTGAACACTACATCAAAAACTATGAAGTATTATATGTTGGCTAATTAAAATTAATGGAAAAAAAGACACTTAACAAAGGATAGATAATAAATAAATACATACATATTCGGGGAAAAATAACTATGGTTCTGGAAACTATAAAAATTATAAGACTTTTTTGTGGGTCCTGAATAACTTGACTTGGTTATATGAGGTTGGGAGCCACAAAATAATGCCAAACAAAAATGTGGGTTTTGATTTGATTTTCTACTAGATGTGGTTGAAGAGAAATGTGTGTTGAACTCCACTGTAATTAGGGTCCCACCAAACTGCTGCCAGGCCTCAGGGAGATTTACAGCTTAGAATTATATTTACCATTTTGGTCTCTCTGGTCACAGATAAAGGCAACAGAGAGGAACACACAGAGGGATGCACAAGGAAAACACTACCCCAAAGCCATTGGCTGATTTTTGTAAAATTTTTAATTGGTGGGGCTCAAAGACTGGAGCTTAAGATTGGTGGCTTGGTTGGGATAGAGCTGGGAGGAAACTGCATTGCTACTGGAGGGAGGGCAGACAAATGACCCAGAAATAGAGTTAAAACAGTGATCTGGGGGCACCTGGGTGACTCAGTGGGTTGGGCCTCTGCCTTTGGCTCAGGTCATGATCCCAAGTTCCTGTGATCAAGCCTCAAGTCAGACTCTCTGCTCGGTGGGGAGCCTGCTTCCCCCTCTCTCTCTGTCTGCCTCTCTGCCTACTTGTGATCTCTCTCTCTCTCTCTCTTTCTCTGTCAAATAAATAAGTAAAATCTTAAAAAATATAGTGATCTGAAAGATGCCTAGGACACACAAATGGGAGAGATGTCACTCTACTGAGAGTACTTCCGTGAGAACAGTAGCATGAAGAATCCTTTCTGAGGACAATGAGCTAGATGAAACCATTTCCCTACCCCTGCCCCCCAGCATAAACAAAGAATCACTTGCATTAAACAACTGAGCACCAACTCTGGTTGCCTAACCTACTTACATGAGGTCTCACAAACCCATGTTCTACCAGAACTGCCCATCTTGGTGAAGTTTGCCTTGGTCCCAATACAGCACACCACTCCCCCAGAAGACAAGCAGAAACCACCACACACACTGCATCTCTAGACCAGAGACTTACAAGTTCTCACTGAAGTAGCATCAGGTCTCATTTAGCAAATAGACCAGAGCACACCTAGTTAAAACTCACCACACTCTGGAAAAGGTTCAAACACTGTCCACTGTAGGAAAGGACAGCCTCTGCAGATGACAGGCCTGGAAGGACAAAGTAGCCAAAACACAGTAGCTGAGTGTATGCAGCACACACCAGAGATATCAAAAAGCACCAGGCCACAGACATTACTCTCAGGAGCAGAAACATAGCAGGCTTTTCTAACACAGAGAAGAAGAACACAGTGACTTAGACAAAATACCAAGGCAGAATAATTCATCCTAACTGAAATAACAAGAGGAGGTCACATCCAGAGATCTAATCAAAACATATAAGTAATATGCCTTATGGATAATTTAAAGCAACAATCACAAATATACTGGACTTGAGAAAAGAATGGAAGACTTCAGGGAGGTTCATACCAAAGAGATAAAAGAGTTAAAAAACAGAAATGAAAACTACAATAATTGACATTCAAAACAGACTGGATGCAGTGAATACAAGGGTAGAAGAAGGAGAGGAATAAATAAGTGATAAAGAGGATAAAACAAAATTATGGAGCATAAGGAGTTACACAGAGGACATTGGGAGATGGAGAGGAGAAGTGAGTTGGGGGAAATCAGAAGGGAAGATAAACCGTGAGACACTGATCTCTGAGAGAAAAACTGAGTGTTTTGGAGGGGAAGGGTCAGGGGTGGGGTGAGCCTGGTAGTGGGTATTGTGGAGGGCACATATTACATGGAACACTAGGTATGGTACATAAACAATGAATTTTGGAACAGTGAAAAAAATAAAATAAAATAAACATTTTTTTAAAAAGAAGTGAAAATAAAAGCAAAAGATTTTTTTTAATATTTTATTTATTTATTTGACAGAGAGAGAGAGATCACAAGTAGGCAGAGAGGCAGGCCGGGGGGTGGGGTGAAGCAGGCTCCCCGCTGAGCAGAGAGCCCCATGTGGGGCTCGATCCCAGGACCCTGAGATCATGACCTGAGCCGAAGGCAGAGGCTTAACCCACTGAGACACCCAGGTGCCCCAAAAGCAAAAGATTTTTAAGAGGAAGATTTAAAAAAATGAAGTTGAACAAAAATGAAAAAAAAGAAATATGTAACACAAGTAGAGACTTAGGGAACTCAGTAACTCCATCAAACATAGTAACATTTGTATTATAAGAGTCCCAGAAGAAGAAGAGAGAGAAAACGGGACAGAAAATTTATTTGAAGAAATCATAGCTTAAAACTTCCCAAATCTAGGAAAGGAAATAGTCATCCAAATTCAGGAGGCACAGAGAACTCCCACCAAATTCAACAAAAACAGATCAACACCAAGACATATTGTAATTAAATTTGCAAAATATAGCAATAAGGAAAAAATCTTAAAAGAAACAAGAAAAATATTGTTAAAAATGTCTATGCTACCCAATCAACCTACACATTCAGTGTAATTTCTATCTAAACACCACTAACATTTTCCACAGAGCTGAAACAAACAATCCAAAATTTATATGGGAACAGAGGACCCCAAGTAGCCAAAGGAATGTTGAAAAAGAAAACCAAAGCTGGGGGCATCAAAATACGGCTTCAAGCTGTGTTAGAAAGCTGCAATCATCAAAATAATATGGGACTGACACAAAAACAGACACACAGAACAATGGAACAGAATAGAGAACCCAGAAATGGACCTTCAACTCAATAGTCAATTCATCTTTGACAAAGCAGGAAGGAATATCCAGTAAAAACAAGACAATGTCTTCAACAAGTGGTGTTGGGAAAAATGGACAACCACATGACAAAGAATGAAACTGGACCATGTTCTCACATTATACACAAAAATAAGCTAAAAACAAATGAAAGACCTAAATGTGAGACAGGAATCCATAATAATCCTAGAGAAAAACACAGGCAAAAACCTCTTTGACCCAGGCCACAGCAACTTCTTACTAGATAAATCTCAAAAAGCAAGGGAAACAAAAGCAAAAATGAACTTTTGGGACTTCATCAATATAAAAAATCTTCTGCACAGCAAAGGAAACTATCAATAAAACTAAAGGCAACTCATGGAATTAGAGTAAATATTTGCAAATGTCTTATCAGATAATAGTCTAGTATCCAACATCTATAAAGAACTTATCAAACTCAACACTGAAAAAAACAAAAATCCAGTCAAAAAATGGGCAGAAGACATGGACAGATACTTC